AAAATGAGCAAGGAACGTTTGACTGTCCTAGATGGAGGAAATGCGTCTGGGACAGAGAATTTGCCCTTACTTGTTATCGGAAAAAAACCGAAATCCCTGATGTTTCAAGAATGTAAAAACGTATCCTTTGGATTACAAGTCTAACAAAAAGTTTTGGATGACATCAGTATTATTTGAAGACTATGTAAGAAAATTGGATTGGAAATTCTTCGCTAAGAAACGAAAGCTGATACTCTTTATGGATAAATGCACAGCGCATAGTGATCTACCTAATTTGAAAGCAGTAAACTTGCAGTTTCTCCCGACAAACACAACAGCAAAATTGCAGCTGATGGACCAGGGTATCATAAAGTGCTTCAAACAGTCTTATCGTAACTGGCTTGTCAGAAAAATGATCTTAAATATTGTAATCATTTAGAAGGTTTGTAATTAATAAGCATTAATTAAATAATCCGACAATATTTTGAAAGTCCAAAACCGAAACTAACGGTAAGTCGAACTTCCGATATGTCGAAGTTTTTCGTCAGTCCTATCAGGTTCGAGTAATCGCGAATCCACTGTAGTTATACCTTAAATGAAAAAATTAAATACAAAAATGAAAGAAAACAAATCACGATGAGAAATCATTAAATAAAAGCGCTGAAACTCAATCAAAAATAAAAATCAAAGTGTAAAAAGAATCGGTAGAGGGGAGAGAAGGGGAGGGAATAGACGAGATTCTATTTGAAATACAATAGCTGAAAGAAAAAAAAATCATATTAAATTAATAAAATAACATCAAAAGGGATAAATAAAAAGTAAATTAAAGCAAATAAAGATGTTAAAAGAATTGCTAAATTTCAGTTTCTATTTTTGAGAGTTTAAACAAACATTTTTTAACGTTAAACTTACTTAAAAACAAAAGCGTTTCGTATAGCATGGAGGATATCGGTAAAAATGTTTAATTATCCAAGATTAGAAATCATTTCAATTTTCTTCTACACAGTTCCGAAACGTATCTTGAAATTAGTACTTGAAACCTGAAAAAACAATAATAATTATTAGTAAGTCTAAAAAATATTATCAGTGATAGTTCATGAAAGTATGCTGCTTCGTCTTCTTTTATTCTATTTATAATGTTTAAAAATACTTAGTCGTTTATAAAAAAAATAATATTATAATTAATTGAAAAATCTTCTTTGATTCAAATGAAAAAGTATCATATGGGGGATTTTTTATCCAAATATTCATTTTTAAAACTCTATAGTAGTAACTCTATATTTTGTAAGGGGTTTGCTTTTTAATGCAAAAGCCTATGCTTGGTAAAATGTTTAATGTATACAAATTTAAGCTAAATTGAAATCGCGAAAATCTCTCTCTCAATATATATATATAAAAAAAGAAAGAAATCCTAGGAGCCGACGCAGCCGCTGTTGTTATAGTTGTTCATGGTGTTTAGCTAGATTTTTCAACAAAAAATAAGCACCTTTTAAGTACTTTTTAAGCACTCAGAAAATATTTTTAAGCACGTTCCAAAAAAAAATCATAATTAGGATCTGTGCAGTAATAAAAAAAATTCCTATCGTTGAAAATTCTTAATTTATAAACATAAAATCAATATAATTCAAGAACTTTACATAATCTTGATAAAATGATACCAATGTGATAAATATTGCAGAGAAAAATGTGAAAATCATGCATTTCTCATAATATAGAACGACAATCGACGCGGCAAATAAAAAATCTCTTTTTAAGAGATAAAAAATTAAGTACTTTTCACAAACCCCGAATAAAAAAAAGCACCTTTAAAGGCTTTTAAAAAACGTAAATCAAAAATAAGCACCTTTAAGCACTTTTTAAAAACGCTACGCACCCTGTTGTTTGACTTGCTGTGTTACATTTTGTTTTGCTGCACAGAAACTATAAGACTTGGAATTACGAAAATTGGTAGAAGACTGTACAGGAAGTTTTTTTCCCCCAATGGTGGAGAAAACAATAAAATACAACAAAGAAGAACAGTAAAAGAAAAACTGAAGTCATTTCCCCAGAAGCTCTCTCGCACGCAAATAAATGTACAGTAAGTACGATGCAATAAAAAATTAATATTCAATAATTAGTTTGTGAATTAGTTATTGTTAAACTAGATGTAAACTAGATACGCTGGTTACTCTAAAGGCCACAGGATTGCCTTATAGTAGAAATGTACAGTTCGCGGGAGAAAAAAAAAAGAACCACCTTGTATAACTGATAATGATCTCATTAACCTTGCAATCAACCTGGTAACCTTGCAATCCTTATGGTAATGAATACATAAAAAAATTAATACTTAAAAATTATAATAAAAATTAAATAATTGGCAATGCGTGGATGAAATTTAATTCCTTGTTTTTAAAAAAGGTTTAGTGAATTTGAATCTAATTTTCAATTTATAAACAAAAAACAAAATTTTTAGCAAAAAATATGTATATTTGTTTCTTACAAAAAATACATGCTGCTCATTTTGATGTTTCACTATCATTAATAACTATTAATACTTTCTATAAAATAAAAAATTAAAAAAAAATTTAAAAAAAAAAACAGTTTACTTTTTTCTTTAAAGATCTCATTAATTTCGAGTACTCTAAAAATTATATTTAATTACGTATTTTTATTCATAAATATTAAGATATTTATATCAGAAAAGTTCTAATTGTGTGCAACATTTAATCATAAAAATTCTAATCAGTGAAAGATTAAATATTGTCCTGTTTTGTTGCTAAAATTACTTGAATTAACACAACTTACACAATGTGTAAAACATTCTTAAAGAAATGACTAAAGGCTTAGCTGGATAAAAATGGCAAAAAGAAAAAGAACATGGAAGTCGGAATGTTCAACGCAATATGGAGCTCTAATACAGAAAGATTGATGTATATGTACTTTCAATAAAACACCGACGGAAGGTATAAAAATTCTAGGAAAGAAAGGTGTGAAAAAAATGCTCTGGAGGAGATAGTATCTAATCCTCTCTCGATGTAATCTAAGAAATAGACCAAATATTCCAGCTAGTACTTTTTGTGGTTTTCTTTTCCCTTTCTTGGTAAGAAATGCAATAGATATTGTGTGGAGTTTGTTCTTTAACGTATAATAACTTTTTTTTTCTGTTTTCGGAAATACAAATAAATGTATTTTAATTTGTGTTTAAAAAAATTGCCTTATAATTTACAGAATTTTTTTCCTTCAAAAATTGATCGCCAATCTGCAACNATGGGTCAGCCAGTGATGTTTGACTTCATTGATCTGCTGGGAACCGTGCCTTAACGATCAGTCCACTGAGGGACTTAAATTTCGATGAGCTGCGTTCATAATTTCGCCAAATTCAATATTTCGTTTTAGCTCAGATTACAGGTCACGCGATTTTTCCAGATGATAAGCGATTAATAATGGTTGGAGTTAAAGCTTTTTTTCCTCATCATACACACCGTGCATTTTTCCATATATATCTTTGCGTTTTCACGAGTCCATGATTTGAAGCATAGATATGGAGAGATTCTGGACTCTGCGCGGCAAAACAAAGCAAGAATCCAAAACTAAAGCTGATGATGAGCTAAAGTTTTCAGAAATAAAAGAAAATATTTTTTAAAAAGATAAAGAAACTGCAGACTCTACAGAATCTCTCATTTTAGAACAGGAAAGGAAATTTTTTTTTTATTTAAGTATTTCTGTGAGATAAGTAGCATGAAATTCTCTAAGTAGCGCATTTTTAAGATTTGTAGCTTTTGAAAAATAATGAGTAGCCCAAAAAGTAGCGGGTAGCCCAAATTCGATTTTGTGTAGCGGGGACTTTTAAAAGTAACCCAATCCGCTACTTGTAGCCCAATCTGGCAACACTGCTCGGAACCTTATCGCAGTGCGAGAGATTGCCAACTAGAATGAAGACTAGAAGATAGCTATTAGAATGATGACATAAGCCGACCGGGCTTAATGGTGATCAAGGAGTACTCATACCAGAAAGATCCTGTATTCGAATCTCACTTTAGGCATTGGTGTTATTTTTCTCTCTCTGAGTTCTATTTGTCTTTCTTGTGATGTTGGGGTGACATTGATGTACCTACAGTTTGTCTAAAATAAGAACTCCCCCAGACATTCCTCTGAACCTGTGGCGGTGACTGTGGTAGCGAGATATGACTATTTCAAGTTGGTGTGCGGGGTCACTATTTTGGAGTGGTTTTGGCGAGAGAAAGAGAATCTTTCTTCTATTGTGTTAGTCCTAGAGTGATGCTACCCTCCCTAAAATGCACCATTCTTGTTTCCATAGCACCTGACGGCATCAGACTTTGTGGCGGGAGGAGTTCTTAGCTTAGACAAACTATACATGGTGTCCACGAAAATTGATCAATATCACCGCCAGTTAAACAATACGATGTGTCAAAAATATAAAATAATGGAATGACGAAATATTTCTTTACTTTTGACGAAGTTCGTTTCCTCGACGAAATCGCGATAGCTATTTCGTCACGTTGATAAAATTCTCGTTCGTAGCATTTACTAGGAAACTGCTTCGTCAAAAACGTAGAAAGTTTCGTGATATTTGTGTAACCATTTTCAACAGTGTACATACACCTACGAAATTAAACATTAAGATAAACATTAATTCCAGAACACCAATTCCGAAATTTTTATTCGAATTTTATTTTCAAAAATTTGTTTTCGTACGTTCCTAAGAACTATTTTCGGAATAAAACTCATATAGTAATTAACTGCAAACATTGTCACTCATACAGCAAGAAATAAGACAAAGCTGCATGGAAAAAAGGGAAAGATAAATCCGTCTTCTCATTACTCACGATTTACTTCCAAGTGAAGGTGATTAGAGTTAATACATGGAGCTGAACTAAGGCGTCACCGTTTCCTCTGCAAGGAAAATGGTGGAATCCTTTTGTCCATTGGAAATAATAGACCAATATCTGGACCGGAATGACTTCTCATTTGTCTGGGATGACAAGTTCAGAAATCTCTTCCTTTCTGATAACTTACTGAACTTCTTCTCCGATATGTGCCTTTCAAAAGAGGCGGTCATTAAAAGAATAATTCTAGAACTATTTTTAATGGACGAGCGCGTTGCATCAAATTATGACGAAGAACTCAAAATGCTTAATATCTTGAATCAGCAGACGTTTTGAACTCTTCAATGATTTTTTTCTGTTTACCCTAGGAACTTTGAATTGATTAAATCAACTGTGTAAATTAAAAACAGAAAAAAAAACTATTTGCAGCTTCTTTTTTAATAAAAGAGACAAACAAGAAGGGAAAAAAAAAAGATTTCCTGATTACCTACCGAACTTCTATTCTGATAAGTGCCTTTAGAAAAAGGTGGTCATTATATTTAAGAACAATTCTGGCACTATCTTTACTGAACGTGCACGATACGTAAAATTATGACTGAGAACTCAAAATGCCAAATATCTTCAATCAGCAGACATTTTGAATTTGTGAAATTCTTTTTCTAGGAACTTGGAATTTATTAAATCAAACGTGTAAATTGAAAACAGCGGTGGAGAACTATTATGGTAGAGAACTGAAAACACAAAATATCTTGAATCAACTGACATTTTGGAGCCGCGATGGCTCAGGGGATAGAGCGTTCGCCTTCTAATTAGGCGAACCGGGTTCGAATCCCTCATCCGGCTTGCTGACCACAGTGCTGACGTGAAATATCCTCAGTGATAGACGGATTATTGGCTAGAGTCCCCTTGACGTCAGGTTAACCGTGGGAGGTTCTCGCGGTCTTCCTCTCCATGTAACGCAAATGCAGGTTAGCTCCATCAAAAAGTCCTCCACAAAGGCAAATTTCTCCCAATACTCGATCCAGGNAACAGGTGAAGCAAATTCTTTTCAAATTGAAGAAGAATTGTCAGTAAGTGAGACCGTCTTTTTCAAGTACACACCTATAACATCAGTAGACGTTGAAAGAAGCTTCTGCAGGAATTAAAATTTACTTTCAGACAAGAGACGCTCGTTTACATTTCAAATTATCAAAAAACATTTAATAATCCAATGC